CTACAATGATGTGGAGGGAGAGTCATCTCCAGTCAGACTGAGGCTGATAACTACAGCTCAGTGAGGTAAAGGAGTGTTTAGATAGTTCACTTTAGTCTAAGTTATCTCAGTGGGTCTCAAACGTTTTGATCACAATTTATGTAAACACATATTTCCAAGGCACTCCTTTATAATTATTGGGATAAAACAGGTTTGAAATCATTCCAATGTATACTATAGGACAGTAAACCAGACATATCGTTTTAAACTGGAGAGATAAAAAAATATGCATAAATAAAATAGTAAAATAAGATATGAATGAACAACAAACATAAAACAAGTTACATGTATTTGTTATTGGCTATGGTAGGTTACTGGTTATGTTCACATACTTATTTGATTATTAAAATGTAAACCAATCTTTTTCATATGGGTGTTTAGAGTTGTACCCCCTAGATCTAGTCTCTAGTAATTCTGCTTAACGTGCACCAGATTGAAGCATTTTACTTCAAAATGTTCAAACATTTCTTCCCGGTATGCCTGAGAAGGCAGATATGCTTGTTTTTCTCAACAAGAACTATTTTTAAAAGTTGGACTGTTGCACTGTTGTAGCTTCAGTGGTTCTCAGGTTACAGTTACATAGCAGTGAATATAAACAGACTGATTAATGTGAATATTACTGTAAACTAACCTGTGTAAAAGTTTCTCGAATAAATGTAATTTTTTTGGTGGAAGAAGCATGTATCATTTTTTTTCCCTGCCCCTCAAAGAATCGGAATTGAGAACCGTTAAGAACCGGAATCGAAAAGTAGAATCGGAATCAGAATCGTGGAAATTCAAACGATACCCAACCCTAATTGTGAATGACATTTGCTATTTCTGAGGGATGTCCTTTTACAGAAAAAAAACATCTTCTTATCCTTACATTGTATGATGAAATTTGCAATATGCAGTTCAAGTTTGGATTTGGCAATTGGATATACTTGAATGCATATTCATGCATACCAGCTTCTAATCTACCTTTCTTACAACTTGCGGTTTTTTTTTTCATTCCACACAAGGAATGGAGAAAACTCAGAAAGACCCAACAAAAACGGCAGTTCAAACGTTTGCATTGGACAAATGTGATTGCAAAAGGTATCCGAAGTGTCCATCCACACTGTAGTTTTGGTTTCAAGAGGCACAGTGTGAAAATGATAGGCTCTATGACAAAAAAGCCACTGTTTACCTGCACTGGGTACTGCCGTTTTGATGACTGTCAGGTTCAAGTAAATGTGAAAGTGGAAAGTGAGTCGTCCCTCAAGGCTGTTGTCTGCTTCCAGGGAGGCATTGTGCGGCACAGCCTTCAACAGCTGAGAAGGAGGCCAATTAGAGCTGAAGAAAGGCAGCTGATAGCAGACACTCTTAGCTCTAAACTCCCAAGAAGTGTATATTTACAAAGCTTGAACAAGTTGGAGGAGACTGTTCTGCAATCTGGTTGCAGAGATGAGGTGCCGACAACTGGAGTCTTAAAGACTTTATCTTGGGGTGAAAGGGAAAAGCAGAGGAGGCACGAAAATGAGATGGTGAGTCTGCAACTTATGTCTGAGGATGTTCAGGACATTGATGACCAGTGGATTCAGAAGGTAATCGTGCAGCCAAAAGGTGTCATGCTTTGGTCTAAGAGAACAATTAGGTTATTCCATGACAGATCGAAGGAGGACATTGTCTACCTAGATGCCACAGGTAGCATTGTTAAAAAGGCAAAAGGGGAGAGCACACCTTTTTACATCTACGAACTTGTGGTCAGAAATCCAGTAAAAGGATGCTCCGCTGTCCCTGTTGCCACATATGTTACCTGTGAACACACCACAGCATCGATAACATACTTTCTTGGCTCTTTCATCCCAGACTGTGTCAAACAACATGGGCCAAAAATTCGCAGAAGACCAGTTATGTTACTTTGTGATGGCTCTGTAGTTTTGATGCAGGCAATGGCTCATAATCTATGTGGCCTTAGTCTCAATGAACTACTATCACAATATTATCACATTGTGGAAAAAGAGGAAAGAAAAGGAGCATGCACTTGCACTTCCTATCCTACATAGATGCCTGAGCCATGTCATGAAAAACGCAAAGGACCTCTGCAAAAAGCAGTGAGTGATGTCTTCAACTGAATATGATTTAGTTATATTTTAGTTTAGAGTATAGTGGCATTGTAATAATATTAATTCTGTAAATTCTTCCTCACAGTGCCGCGAAACACTATCGTCTGTGCATGCATGTCTTCGGGCTGATGACCCAGACTACTACTCTAAAAGAACTGGATCAAGTAGTAGTTAGTGCCACCGTGCTGCTGGCAAGTCCATGCAGTGGGGGAAATGTTGAGAAACATTTTAAAGACCTTCAGACGCTTTTGATAGCAGTTGCCCAGCCAGTCATTGATGAATCAGGCATTGCTGAGGAAGACTTTGTGGTAGGTAATCCTTTGTAGAATTGTAAAATAAAATTGAATAATGGATTAGTTGTCAACTATTAAATTAATCGCCAACTATTTCAAAAATCTGTTTGAGTAATTTCTTACGAAAAAGTATTGTCTAAAAGTAAATATTCTCTGATTCCAGCTTCTTAAATGTGAATATTTTATGCTATATTTACTCCTTTATGACAGTAAATTGAATATCTTTGAGTTGTGGACAAAACAAGACATTTGAGTACGTCATGTTGGACTTTGGGAAACACTGATTTTCTGAGATTTTATAGACCAAGCAACTAATCGATTAATCAAGAAAATTATCGACAGATTAATTGACAATGAAAATAATTGTTATTTGCAGCCCTAATGTTTATGTGTTTTTCTGGGTGCTTTGAGTATTTCCCTTTTGTGAGTTATGCCTAAATAGGTATAAGCTGTATGGACTTTTTTCCTTTGTAAAAATGTTCAGCAGATATTAATTTGTTGTAACTGCAGTCCATGCAAATACAAAATACACAATTACATGGACCAAAGAATTATAATATTGTAAGTAACATCTGGTTTAGTACTCAAAAATTCACCAAAATACCAAACAATTACATGAACGTGATTATGTGTCTTATAGAATGATTTGGGCCCAACACCGTTTGACTACCACTTTAAGGATGTCATCCAGCAGGCATCATTGGATAAAGTTGGAGAGCCAAATGAGTACTTTTGCCCAAACTTTATCCCCAAGCTGCTCAAGTACTTTCTGCCTCAGGCTGCTCTGTTCAAGACTACTACTGGGTTAGTTAACTTCCTCTTCTTCATCCATCCATCCATCCATCTTCTCCCGCTTATCCGTGGTCGGGTCGCGGGGGTAGCAGTTCCAGCAGAGAGCCCCAAACTTTATTTTCCCTGGCGACATCAACCAGCTCTGACTGGGGGATCCCAAGGCGCTCCCAGGCCAGCGAAGAGATATAATCCCTCCACCTGGTCCTAGGTCTACCCCTTGGTCTCTTCCCAGCTGGACGTGCCTGGAACACCTCCCTAGGGAGGCGCCCAGGTGGCATCCTAACTAGGTGCCCGAACCACCTCAACTGGCTCCTTTCGACGCGAAGGAGGAGCGGCTCAACTCCGAGTCCCTCCCTGATGACCGAACTTCTCACCTTATCCCTAAGGGAGACACCAGCCACCCTGCGGAGAAAACCCATCTCGGCCGCTTGTATCTGCGATCTCGTTCTTTCGGTCATGACCCATCCTTCATGACCATAGGTGAGGGTAGGAACGAAAATGGCCCGGTAGACAGAGAGCTTTGCCTTCTGGCTCAGCTCCCTTTTCGTCACAACGGTGCGGTAAAGCGACTGCAGTACCGCTCCGATTCTCCGGCCCATCTCACGCTCCATTGTTCCCTCACTCGAGAACAAGACCCCGAGATACTTGAACTCCTTCACTTGGGGTAAGGACTCATTCCCTACTTGAAGTGGACAGTCCATCGGTTTCCTGCTGAGAACCATGTATGTTTTAATTTTAAGCTTGTTTTTCCTATTATTAAAGTTAGATGCTTCTATGGCAGGTGACCTTGGACGTCATGGAAGAGGTCCCTTTTATGAAAAGCTGTCAAAGAGGTTCAAGACAGTTGCCCAGAAATCAACAAAAAACATAATTACAGCTAACCACAACTTTATGACATGGCTGATATCCATACAGTTGTAGGCACAATAATTCACCAAAGAGCTGTTATTTAACAGAACTACACTAAAGACAACATGACCCAGGGGATTATGGAGAAGAGCCAGTGGGATCTTAAAAAGATTCGCTTTCAGCAGAAGAGGCTCACAAGACTGGATGACTTTGTGCACACATACAAGGTCATGCACAACGCACTGTTGAGAGAATACCAAGACTCTCTGAAGACAAAGAACAAGGTAGGATATTTTGGCAAAGTCTTTACTTATTGTAATTGCCTTTCTCTGTCATCGCTGTCCTTGTTTGAGGGATCATAATGTGATCAAACTAATAACTTTGATCAAAGTTTTATATTTTCAGTTCTGTCACTTTGAACATGTTTTTGCAGAAATTGACACTACATACGTGTAACATAGTAGCTGATGAGAAAGTATATATTCATTTATTTGCATAGCAGAATTACTTTGAATTAGTTGTAGCTGATTGACCCCCACAACTGATCTGTTGTTAAAATGTAACAATGAAAAAGCATCTGTTATGTCTGTTTAGTTTACATAACTTTAATACATTATCCATTTTTACAATTATATGCATGGACTGAACATATTTGTAACTTTTTGTTAATGTAAATTACATCCCATTACAGGTCAGAATCACTTGCAGGACTAAGACATAACCTCAGGTTTAAGCACCAAATATATTATTGAAAACATCAACTAACCATAGGTGATGAAATTGCCATCACATAGTTGTCTAGTGTTGCCACATATCCACTAATGTGTGCCAATTTATACAGAATGCAATTGGAAATATTGGCTTCCATTTATAGTAACTACACCTATTGCTCTCTGTTTATTATAATTAAGTCCCACAGGGTAGATGTGGAACGGTGGAAACAGAGGAAACAGAGGAGGAGAGGTGTATATGTTACACCAATCACAAAGCCTTTTGATTTCAAGAAATCTAAAGCAAAGAAGGTAAAGGAAAGGTTACTTAATTGATCACAATTTTTTACAAGTGATGCTATGTGTTTCAGTGACGTGCGGTGAGGTTCATGGCTGGTGAGGCACTGACTCTTTCAGAGTCAGATTTACAAATATTATATTCTGACCTTAATCGAAATATTCTGTTATTTTCAAAAGCTTTTTTGGTCTGATGTTTCGATTCATTTTAAACAGACCGTTCAACAAAAGGATACCCAAAATCTAAATATTGGATTGTTCTTTCTTAGTAAGATCCCATTTTCATTACCAATGTGGTCTTACCTTGACTTGAAGATGAAGTCCATGCTATCCTTCTGGACAACAATCTCTATTACTTTTTTGTAAAAGTCCTCCTTATCTTCCTCTAGTTTCAAAAGTCTAGTTTGTTGTTCGCGTCTATACCGTCTCTGCGTAGAATAACAGTAGCAACAAGGACCCGTGGGCTCACGTGCGCCCCCTTCAGTGCGGCAGAGGTTATGGCTGCCTCCCCTGGTGCTTTTTTCATTGCCGTTGTACGGCGAGCCTAAATATCATATATACGTGAAATAAGTTATTTAGAGACTATGGATGGCGAGGATAAATGTAATAGAGGGATCTACAAACATTACATTGGTGACATACAGTGAGATGGTGCAGGCATGCGCTTAGTGCCCGCTTTCCAGCCAGTTTCTGTGAGGTGACGCATTTTGAGGTGAGGCAGAGCTCATCTGTGCGTCACCTTACCACACAGTAACTGGCTTGAGCGCGCTCACAAAATAAGTGCCCGTGCTAAATTAGTGCCCGCGCTCCAGCAAGTTACAGTGGGCTTACGTGAGGCAGAGCTCGTCCCTGCCTCACTCCTCATCGCTCCCATGTAGTTGTAGCGGAGCTCTGCAAATTTGCTGATTTTGACTATAAAAAGCGATTGGAATCATACATAAATCACATTTACAACACAGATCAGTGGAGACATTTTATTATTATTACTATTTAGTTTTTCTTTAGTTGTTTTTCCGTTACATTGTAGTATGGCCAGTCTATGAGTATGACAGGTGAGGCTCTGCCTCCCCTGACTGCACGTCGCTGATGTGTTTATATAATACAGATCATATAAAATGTTGACGTCAAGTACATTTGGGATTATCAGGTTATGAAGAAGATTCTCAACCCATCTCTGTCCACGTCCAACCTCAAAGAGGCACAGGAAAAACACAGAGACAGCTTTCCACAGCACACACCATCTCAGGTTAGTGCCTAACATTTTGCTGCATTTATTTTTAAATGTCCTTCAATTGTAAAGGATGACAGAATGGCTTTTTTCATTCTACTAGAAAGAACAAAGATGATCATGATGATCTTATGACATTTTGTTGATGTATCTTGTAACTTTTCCATGTGTAACATTTCTTGTCTCCAACTTTTGTGTTTACCATGACATGCTATCCCTCCCATCTCATTCTGAGGAACATGGACAAATAGTCAAATAGCTAATGTACATGTTTTATAATGGGGTGATGTTTGTATTTCATGGAATTATCTGTATTACATTGTTCACAGCTCAAGTCCCCCCACCAGTCAACATCAGTCATCACTGATGCACATGAACAGAAGCCCTCTCCAGAACATGTGACATCTGTTAGAAATTAAAATCAATGTTTTGATAGCATAATGTACCCTAAACATACCGTCAGTTTAAATGCTGTTTTATACTGAAAAACCAGAAGTTCTTGTGCACAACCAGTTGTTAAGCTTTTATTCTGAAAATCCTTCATGACGACATCCGGGACTACCGGCCATTAGTATCATTAAAGTGGCTATTGACGCCGTTAACATGTATTACATATAAAGTTATGAAAGAGATAAGGAGGAGAAAAGGCATGTGGAAGTAAGCAATGAATGTAAAATGTCGAAATCCTCTGTTTAACGCGATATCGGACACAGACGAACGAGAGGGGGAAGTCCCTTACGTCACTACAGCTCACAGAGAGGAGGAGCGAACAGCGAGCAAGCGGGAAGGATGAATGCTTGTAAGCTCTCTTCTGCACGGCCAGCACCTGGGAGAGGAAGCTGCAGACTTTCTCTCCTGTCGAACCATATCCTGTTTGTGACTTTACCGCGCCTTTTTTATTAATTAAAGTACCAATTTTGAACCTCCAGAGACTCCATTTAGTCTCCTTTTTAAGCTTCTCTTTCCTGGACGCTGAGAATAAGAACACAGTTAACACATCACAGGTCAATTTTCTTAACAAAGCATTATAAAACCTGTACTGTGGATAAAAAATATATATATATTTTAGGAATAATGTGTTTTTTAGATTATTAACATTAATCCAGGGATGATACTACAATTAGACTGCATCATTTTTAATATACTGACATTGTACTTACAGTAGATGCCATTCTGCTTTTATGTGTACAGTGTGATACAGAAGGAACTGACTTGTCCAGTGTCAGTGTAGTGGAAGATGCACCACCCCTGCTGTTTTCAAGTGAAAATGTGAATCTGGATTCATCAGCAGGAAGAAGCATGCACCAAGTCAAGACGTTGTCAGTTGAACTGTCTGAAACTGTCAAAGTATGTGTATGGAAGGCAGATCTCACAACATTCGTAGTTGATGGTGTTGTCAATGCGGCAAATAAGAACCTGCAGCATTGTGACGGTCTTGGTGGCTCTGAGTACAGCTGGAGGGCCAGTGATCAAAGCAGAGTGCAACCTCCACATTGGCAAGTACGGGAAATGTAAAACTGGAGAGGCAATCATAACCAGTGCTGGTAACCTACCTTGCAAAAAGGTTATTCATGCAGTTGGCCCATGTGTAAATAAATCTCCATCTCCAGCAGTGTTGTCCAAAGCAAAGAAGGCTTTGAAAGAAACAGTATGGAGCATACTACAAAAAGTAATGGAAAATAATTTGCAGTCTGTTGCCATTCCGGCTATAAGTTCAGGGATATTCAACTTCCCCTTGCCAATGTGTGCAGACATTCTAGTTTCCACTGTCAAAGACTTCCATGACACAATTCAAAAATCAACATATCACTGTTCACCTTATGAACAATGAGGAACCCTCGGTGAAGGAAATGGAGAGAGCCTGTAGAGAGATACTTGTATCACCCACTCTGAATGCCAGCCAGATGGTCTCAGAAAAACTATCTCAAGACCAAGAAGAGCAGGTAGGAATCATTCTCATAATTTATAACATAATTTTCAAAATTGCATTTAGATATTGACTTGCAACAAAGATGTCATTGGCTAATTGGTCATTTTATTTAATTTTTCTTACATGGACTTTAAAGTGCCCGTGAAGTGCATGTTTTTGCGCCAAAATGAAATGGCAGTTTCATTCCTTACATATCATTGTGCCTGTTCATGGCTAAAATAATTTTTAATTATTAATTTATTAATTATTAATTTTAATAATAACGGCCGTCTGAGCCTACCGGAAGTTGCAGACGATAGCGGCTGTGACGTCACAAGATGGGCCCAGTTGTGATTGTAAACATGGCGGAGACTGTGGAAAGTGATACAAGTGCGAGAGAAATGATTGATTTTGACAGCTTTTCGGACAGGATAGATGAGGAAAGTGGAACAGAAGATGGAAGTGACGATGAGGAAGCGCAGGACATCATTGCACCCTACAGATTTGTGCCGTCAGGGACGTCAAGTGGGGAGGATGATGGCGACGACATGGACGATGGGGAAGACATTGACCGGCTACACAACACTGAATGGTTAGCAGGTTAGCAGTGACTGTGCTGTCACTGTCGATTGGAAAATAGGAGGGGGGGGGCGTGAAGACTGAAGGGTCCTTTGCCTTGTTTAAAATCTCTGCTTGGGCTCAGCCTCTGGGAAATAATTAGCTTATGTACATGTCATGTGCTAGAGCAGTGACTGTAAGAGAATATTTTCATCTGATCTGTTTATAGAGTTTCTTATTGTTTTATAGAATCTGTGATACTGCAAACATCTGCTTGTAGTCAGTCAGAGACTCCTCTGTGATGTTGAGGTCACAGGTCAAACGCTTCTCCTATGTCCGTGGGGGGTTGACCTGGCAGCATCTCTTTGAGACAAGCAGACCATTGTCTCGCATCGGCTATTGATTATACGCGGGCTTTCTGGGAGCCCGCCTCTCCTCGTGTTGGTTAGATGTTTTGTGTCTTTTGGGTTCAGAGATTACCTTGGTGGAGCACAAGGACAGTGTGAAACTAGGATGATCTCCCGGCCGTATGTAATTGTCTGTCTCTCAATAAATATCAGTGTATTGACAGGCGAATCCAGTTTCCCTCATTTGATGATGCGCTCAACATTGCTGCAAAGAAGTTTTTACTTCACATTTTGGCGTCACGAACAGTTACCAACAAATCGTCGAGCTGGTGAGTGTAATTTCAAATTTATATTTTGACATTGCCTCGCCAGACTCTGTGATTGACGGTATAAAATTACCTGTGGAACAGATAGATGCAATATTTTTGGTTTCCTCTGTGTGTGTGCACGGCAAATATTCGGAGAGACCTTAAAGAGGGCATCAGTAATGTGGAACTTCGGTTTAAAAGCAATGTAAAGATTTGTACTGAAACGAATCGCCGAATTCTGGAGATTTCAACGGTTTAACTAGTTAAATCAACTCGCCTCGAAATGTTCCTGTTGCTGCTGCGGGTGCAGGGTGTGGGTAATTCCCCCCCCCCCCCCCTGTGGGGAGCAGCACACACGGGGATAAACAAAGCACAGTGTCGTATCTTCTTAAATCGCACCATTATGAGTTTTGGAACTAAACAGAACTCTTATTAACGGGAAACGTGATACGAAATATTACGTCACGCTGTGTTTCATAAACTGAGGGGTTGTTGAATTTGGCTGTTGTTAAAATAAAGGGTACTGAATTCATTAAAAGTCTCTGCTCTCCGGATCGGGGAGGGCAGAGCACCACTAAATTAGCATAGTGGTTGTTGATTGAGAATAATGTGGTTATTACTCTTCAGCAGATTCCGTTCTTAGAATTAATTAAATTAATTAATATCTCTGCTCTCGGTCGGTTGAGCAGTTTTACCACTACATTTGCATAGTGGTTTTGATTGAGAATAAGGTAGTTTATTGCTCATCAACTGAATTAATGTTTAACAACACAGACTTGTATTTTCTGTTAATCACACCATAAGCTCAAGAACTAAATTGAGCTATTAAATGGGAAGGGTGGTGGCAGAATATTACATTCACACTGTGTTTAATAAACTTACGGATTATTGAATTGGATTTTGTTTAAAAAAAAATAAAAAATTAATTTAAAAAAAAAAAAAACAATAAGTAAAAATAAGTACTGATATTTCCCTACCCCCGCTGAAGTTTCCCTAATTCGGATTAAAATTAAACTGGATGAGTTTAGCTGTCACCTGATATTTGTTGCGGGTTCATGTTTGTTTTGTATAATTGTTTCGTGTTTGTTTGTATATGCCGTCTTGTGCATGTTTTTTAACAACTAATAATTAATCAGTCCACAGCTAAGGTAAAATTAATCTAAATTTCCGCAAAAGGAAAATACATTTTAAAAAAAAAGCCTCTGTTTTACACCCGGGAACCTCAGAGGCATAACTGCGGGTCATCTGTCTGCTCAAATAGGTCAATGTTGTATTATTTGTTTCATTTATTCTTAATCTATGTATTGTATGGTAATAATGAAAATAAAATAACCTAATGTATTGAACACATTCCGAAACAAAGCAGATAAGACAAGACTTAGACACAATGGTGATTGAACCTTTTTGCACGATTGATGCAAAATGAAAACTTTGTCATTATCTGTTTCCAACTGGCCACTGGAATCAGATAATGGATATGAGTTGAAGTTCAATTACAGTTTTAAATATAGTTCAACATCCTTTTCTATACTCTGCTTGGTGCTGCAGAAGAAGAAAATAAAATAAAACGCAAGACACGGGGTCAGAGACAGGCGTGACCTCTGGAAGGAGAAGATAATCTGAAGCAGACCACGGCGCGACCCATTGGGGGTTTTATGACCACAGCACAAAGAGGAACATCTAATTGCAGCAGTCAGTTTATAATTTTGCCAGTACTGTTGAGCATTTTCAAAATGTATTTTCATGCCTCTGTGCATGGCTTAGTCTTTCTATCTGCATAACCACTGGTGTAACTAAGTTCATAAACTTAACAAGTACTATACTTGGGCACAATTTTGAGATACTGGTATTTTATTTGAGTATTTAAATGTTTTGCCATTTTAGCCATCCGCTCCACTACAGTTCAGTGGTACATGGTGTATTTCTACTCCACTACATGTATTAATACCTTTTAGTTACTTTCAGATCTGGATGAATGATGTGAAATCTAATCAAGTGTTGAATCAGACTTTAGTTCCACCTGGAGTAAATCCACCAGCTACCCTGCAGTATACAAAGTCATTCAAACTAGCTGCACCTTCACCAGCTTTGAGAACACTTTCATGATCAATCATTATAAAACATATCATATATAGTATTCTGAAATAAACCAATCTGCACAGTGACTACTTCTACTGTCGCTATTTTCACTATATTTTGATGACAATACCTTTATACTTTTACTTGAGTAACATTTTGAATGCAGTACTTTTACTGTAACATAGTATTCCTACACTCTG